AATTCTTGGCACATCCTACACCTACTGACTCAGAAACTGTGTGGATGGTGTCCAGAAATGTGTATTTTTTTTTTTTTCTCAGATGGAGTTTCACTCTTGTTGCCCAGGTTGGAGTGCAATGGTATGATCTTGGCTCACCACAACCTCCACCTCCTGGGTTCAAGCAGTTCTCCTGCTTCAGCCTCCCGAGTAGCTGGGATTATAGACATGTGTCACCACGCCTGGCTAATTTTGCATTCTTAGTATAGATGTGTTTCCCCATGTTTGTCAGGCTGGTCTCAAACTCCCAACCTCAGGTGATCCACCTGCCTTGGCCTCCCAAAGTGCTGGGATCACAGGCACAAGCCGGTTTTCCCAAGGGACTTTTATTGGCCCTACAAGTCAAGTTGGATTCCTTGTAGGAAAGAACACGAATCCAGCCAAAGCCTTCGTAAAATAACCAGTTTTTTCAACTGTGCACTGTTACAAAGAAAATATATTCTAATTGCACTTATGCAAATAACGATACTGCTATAAGTTAAGAATACTCACAACTAGTTTTCAAATTCTGGAGAAATCAGGTAAAGAGCAACAAATATGCTTCAAATTTTGTTCACAGAAGTATACTTTACTCAATTGTTAAAAAGCTGTAACTAGCTCAAAAGAAAAGTTTCCTTGTCTCTGAAAAACCATACAAAGGATCAGCAACATTTTAAGCAAAGTTAAAAAAAAAAAAAAAGATCACTTCAGACTTCTATTAGTTTAATCTATGCAGTTAACTCCTGTTATGTTTGATAGCTATGAACATTTCAGGTTTCCACGAGAGTTCTGAAAGTTTTCCTGTCTATTCTGATATCATATTTTCCAAAGTTATCATAACCCTGCACTCAAGAACACCTGTTAGAGTTTTATAGTTGATTATAAACCATCTTTTAAAGAGAATTAAGACAATTTTTGTATTGACAAAACATCTTAGGACAGCCACAGTCAAAAATATGATTTGACTAAGAAATTTGGTTACTGTAAGAGTTACTGCCAAGTTTAAAATGAGGAAACTGAAGCCAGTGTAAGGAAATTAAATGCCATGTTTATTCAGTGCCCTGGTGAGGTTCTCTGGTCCCATGGAAAGGGGGCCAGAGAAGCCGCACTGTCTTCCTGGGGCATGGGTTTATATGGCTAGGAGGAACAAGCAACAGCTGGGTGCTCTGATTGGGTCCAGGGGAGCGGGATTGAGACGGGGCGGGCCACTATTGGTTGGTTGATGGGTTGTTGGGTGGGTTTTCTGGTGCAAGAGCCAGCCAGGGTTGCATTAGCCGGAGCCTTCCAAGGGAGCCATGCAGCAGAGCTAGATGCCGAGTGTAGAGCCTGGTGCTGGGTGCAGAGGTGGGTGTGTCCGGCCTCCTGGCAAGGCAACCAGCCTTATAGTTACCTCTGTGGCATACAATGATTTTATGTAACAGTTATAATTATTAATAACATATCTAAGTCATATTACAATTATAGGAGATTTCAAAAATAATTTTGGAACACATACCAGTAACATTTATACAACTATGCCCCAAAGAAAGCCAAACACCATTTCATATTTGATGATGCTCCCTGTATCACTTTTATACCAAATATGCCAAATGTCACACAGTTGCATTAGTGCATTACTGATGTCAAACCCAATTCTTTTTTTTTTTTTTGAGACGGAGTTTCGCTCTTGTTACCCAGGCTGGAGTGCAATGGCGCAATCTCAGCTCACCGCAACCTCCGTATCCTGCGTTCAGGCAATTCTCCTGCCTCAGCCTCCTGAGTAGCTGGGATTACAGGCATGTGCCACCTTGCCCAGCTGATTTTTTGTATTTTTAGTAGAGACGGGGTTTCACCGTTTTGACCAGGATGGTCTCGATCTCTTGACCTCGTGATCCACCCGCCTTGGCCTCCCAAAGTACTGGGATTACAGGCGTGAGCCACCGCGCCCAGCGCCAATTCGTAATAAAACCTTATTTAAGCTTTTTAACCTTGAAAAAATTCTTTATTTTTATAACTTTACTCATGTCTTTTTTTTTTTTTTTTTTTTTTNTTCTTTCTCATATAAAATTGTTTCTTTATGCTTTCTTACCAAAAAAAACCCTTTATTTCTGTAGCTTTCTTACATCTCTCTTATTTCCTGGTTCCTTTTACCTTGTTTTATACATAACTTTTAAATAAGTTTTTAATTAGGCAAATCTCGTTCAGCTTTTTTTTTTTTTTTTAAAAAAAGGACACACTTTTTTTTTAAGCAAGACTGTTTTCCTACAAGATATATTTATTTTAAAACACCCAAATAATGAATTCTCTTTTATTTAATTTAATGTGACTTTATATTCTAAATTATGACCAGTTTGTCTGTATTTATCCCATTACATAATTATTTCATTTTAATTGTTTATCTAGATTATTTCTGAAAACTCTGATAGTCATGATTTAAAGTTATGAAACCACTATTGCAAAATTACAACTGAGACAGTGAAAAACGATTTAACCTAACTGACTCCACCTTGCTCTTAACCTCCAAGCGGTCCTTGTCCTGGGCACAGGCCAAAGGAACTTTGGGAGGAGCCTAGTTTATAGTTCAGCTTTGAAACAATGACAACAGCCCTTTTCCAAAACAAACCACCTTCTTGCCTCTGGACTAACTGCCTAAGGCCATAGGATTAGAAGTTATGGTAATCTTACTAAATTCAAGGTGCAGTTATGTTCATGAAACCCATATCAATTTATTAAAAATTATACCAGCAAAGAGAATTCTGTTTTGGGCTGGGTTTGTAGTTTTATAATCCCTATGCCAAACGTTGACACTTTACGGCATTTGTCAGGGGTAAGTATAAAATTGCTTGACAAATATAAGGCAAACAAAAAGTATGCCAGAAATTCCTAAGACATTTCTAGTGTTACTTTACCAACAATTTTAAAGCTAGTTTATTTATTAAAGATTTCACTTAAGTTACAGAAACTTGAAAAGCATTTGACTAATCTTTTCTATCTGATTTAAGCATGTTTATTTTTCTTTAAGCCAATTAGAGCTCTTTCATGTATTTTCAGTACTAAAATATTGTGTACACAACACATAGATACATATAAGGACATATTAGGCATGCCAATAAAGTGCATTTATTTCTAAAGCCCCTCCCCTTTTTTCCCTATCTTAGACTTCCAGATTCTTGATAACCTGTTTTACAACATTAGGCAGGTGTCAGCCAAATAGCCTTAAATTTGCACATTACAGGAAGCAACCCAGGTGAAAATCAAATAGCCAAATTTACATTACAAGGTACAGAAAGAAAAAGTCTGGTGGTGGCAGAGGGGGATGCTTTTACTTTTCTTTGAGCCAAATTAAACGTAAAATTAAACTACATTCTTCCTTAACCCAAGAGTAACCTCTGCTGCAATAACTGTGTTAGTCAGAAAATCTGGTGAAAACACAATTCAGTCAACTGAGAAGTAAAGGAAAAAAAAAAAACTTGCTACAAAAAAAGACAAGGTCTTAAAAGAGAAAAACAAACAAAAAACAAAAACGTGCAGGCTTTTCAAACACAAAATGCGCACACACGTCTTGGATGTTAGAGCTTTAATTAAGCAGACTTTTCACCATTGAGCTCCTTAAAAAACTTTGTAAAAAATCTTATTACCGTATCTCAGCTAGGACAAAATGTTGCCATTTCAGCATTTGCTCTTTCAGCCACTGGTCTTTCAGTTTGGTCTGGCTCCAAAAGGTGGCCTTGTTATGCAAATAGAACCCCTATAGTAATTAAAATTAAAAATATTTTCTTTTTTTTTTTTTTAAGCCGGCTGTTTTCCTCCCACTTCAGAGGTCTCGTTCCCCATAATTTAGGGTTCCCCTTTGGATTTGACCAAGACAGAAGCAAACAACAAAACAGTTAAGCAAAACTAACAAGGATCACACAAAGTATACAATTTCTGAGTGCTCTAAGTGTAGGCAGAAATGAACACCAGCTGGTTGTTAAATGCTAAATTTAGTCATTTAAAAATAATTTGCAAGACAGAATCCCAAAACAGTTTCTTACCTAGTTTGGGTCTAGGGTCCGAAAGTGATGGGTCTCAGGCTGTAGACTGCCCTCCACCATCCTAGAAGCCGGAAGAAAAAAAAAAAAAACCCACTGGAAGCGAGTTCAAACTCCATTAAAATCACCTGTCTTCCATCATCATGGAAGCAGGAAAACTTGCCTTCCTTGTTGGGAGCAAGTAAAACTCCAAAAAAAGAGGAGTCGTACAGCAAAATAAACTTTAGATCTCTACCAGATTTTAAGAAATCAGGGATTTTCTGGAGGGAATCCTCTCAGACTTCAACAAATTGTCCTATTGGTTTGAGCCATAAAGTTAGCTCATGCTGGCACCAAGCACTGATGGATTTGTCAAGGGTCGGGGGCATCTCCACTCAGAATCCATTCATGGTTTCCAAAATGCGATCCCAGAAAATACGAGACAGGTGTCAATTAATTTAGAAAGTTTATTTTGCCAAGGTTGAGGACACGCCTGTGACACTGCGTCAGGAAGTCCTGACGACATGTGGCCAAGGTGGTCGGGGCATAGTTTGGTTTTATACATTTTAGGGAGACATAAGGCATCAATCAATATATGTAAGAAGTACATTGGTTCAGTTTGGAAAGGCGGGACAACTTGAAGTGATGATAAGAAGACTGGAAGCCAGGAAGGGAGCTTCTAGGTCACCTGCAGGTGAGATACAAAGGGTGGCATTCTTTTGAGTTTCTGATTAGCCTTTCCAAAGGTGGCAATCACATATGTATCTGTCTCAGTGAGCAGGGGGATAACTTTGAATAGATTGGGAGGCAGGTTTGCCCTAAGCACTTTCCAGCTTGAATTTTCCTTATTCTGAAGCTCCAAGATATTTTCCTTTCATAGTTGACATCCCCAACGTGATAGTGTTTGGGGCTCAGAAAAGGATACCCTAAAATAGGGTGCTTTGGCATGCCAGGTGCTTTGAATAAAGGAGACTGAAGGGCCTCAGAAATAAGAGAACCAAGGTGTCTCTCTGATCCGCTCCTGTCCACTTCCCTTCCCTTCCAAAGCACAAGTGAGGGGCTTTCTTAGAAGTTCTCTTATTTGATTAAGGGAAGTTTCTCCGGAAGGAAGGCAATTGTCCCAGATACCCTTTACTAGAATCTATATCAATCAGAGAAGATTAACTCATATTGCAGAACAGGAAAATAATTAAAAGTTGCTCAAAACACCATACCTAGATAGATTTTTTTTTCTTTTTCTTTTTTTTTTTTTAAAGACGGGGTTTCACCATGTTGGTCAGGCTGGTCTTGAACTCCCGACTTCAGGTGATCCGCCCGCCTTGGCCTCTGAAGTGCTTGGATTACGGGTGTGAGCCACCACGCCCAGCCAGAATTTTTTTAAAAATTTATTTAGGGTACCTTAAGTGTGCTGTATTTATAAAGCCTATGGTAATATACAATAATGTCCCAGCCCTTCACATTCACTCACCACTCGCTGACTCTTCTGAAACAACTTTCAGCCCTGCAAGCTCCATTCACAGTAAGTGCCCTACACAGGAGAGCCAATTCTTATCTTTTGTGCTGTATTTTTACTTTCCTATTTCTGTTTACGTATGTTTAGATACACAAATACTTCCCTTTGTGTTGCAATTGCTTGCAGCATTCAGTAGTCACATGCTGTCCAGGTGTGTAGCCTGGGAGCAATAGGCTCTCCCATATAGCCTAGGCGTGTAGTAGACTATGCCATCTAGGTGTGTATAAGTACACTCTGTGATAATCACACAACAATGCAATTGCCTGATGACAAATTTCTCAGAATGTGACCTCATCACCAAGAGATACATGACTGTAAGGCCGGGCGTGGTGGCTCACGCCTATAATCCAAACACTTTGGAGGCCAAGGCGGGGGGATCATCTGAGGTTCAAGACTAGCCTGACCAACATGGTGAAACCCCGTCTTAAAAAAAAAAAGACACTTGGCAAGTGACATAACCTCCCTGGCTTAGTCATTTTTGGTGGCTATCATAAAATAGTAACAAACTACTATTGGGTTGCTTACACCACGAAATGTATTGTTTCACAGTTCTAGAGGCTGGAAGCCCCAGATTGCACTGCTGACTCATTTACTTCCTGGTGAGGGCTCTCTTCTTCTGCCTTGCAGACTGCCGCCTTCTTGCTGTGTCCTCAGATGGCCTTTCTTCAGCGTGGCTGTGCAGTAGGGGTGGGGAGGCCCTCTTGTATGTCCTCCTCCTCTTATAAGGAGGTCAATTCCATTGCATTAGGACCTCACCCTGATGGCCTTATTCAACCCTAATTACCTCCCAAAGGCTCCATCTCTAAATACAGCCACATTTTGGTTTAGAACTTCAACATACGAATTAGAAGGAGAAGACAAGTTAGTTCCTAACTCCCCCTGTGGTTCAGTGTCTTCTTTGTTAAAACTGGGAAGACTTGGCTGGGCACAGTGGCTCACGCGTATAATCCCAGCACTTTGGGAGGCCAAGGTGGGTGGATCACTTAAGGTCAGGAATTCAAGACCAAAGGGGCCAACATGGTGAAACCCTGTCTCTACTAAAAATGCGAAAAAAAAAAAAAAAAAGCAGGGCGTGGTGGTGTGTGCCTGTAATCCCTGCTACTTGGGAGGCTGAGGCAAGAGAACTGCTTGCACTCAGGAGGCGGAGGCCGCAGTGAGCCGAGATTACGCCACTGCACTCCAGCCTGGGTGACAGAGACCCTGTCTCAAAGCAACCAAACAAACAAACTGGGAAGACCCTTTTGCCAGCACATGGGCCTTAAGAAGTGTTGAGGGAGAAACAGAAGGCATGCCCACGTGTGTCCAGGACAGGCACCCTCATCTCCAAGATGTACTTGATATTATTTGGACATCCAAGGCCATGGTGTCCCCATGTCCTGAGAAGCATTCATGTAAACATGACATACACACAGACACACACACAGACACACACATATCCACACATGCTCCCTTAACTCCTTCCAGTAAGCCTTGGTTTTACAGGTCCCCACCCCTCTTGCCCTTTACCTCACTTTCTGCTGCAAGTTCTGGTAGCACTGGGTGAGTTCTGTGAGGTCCCTCTCCAGCTCCGAGGCCTTGGCTCTCAACTCTTCCGCGAACTTTGTCCTGGCTCCTTCCTTCAGGTGCTTCCATTCTTTTGAGAAAGCGGCCAAGTCAAAGCCAAGGGAGAAGGCGGCCATCGTACCTCCCAGCATGCGAGCATTTTTGGTCATTGCCAGCGTTGTCCCTGCAAAGACCTTTTGCGCCTGTTCGGTGCTCCGGGAGTAGACTCTGCCAGTGGTCAGAAGACGCTTGGCGGCATTGGCCAAGCGTGGGTCGGCTCTGACTTTCTGAAATGCACGGACGTTTTTTCTGGTGTTCCTCACGGTGTTGATAACGTTAGCGATAATCTTTACAGTGGCCCCGACATAGTCTGCCCTCTCTTCCTCAGCTTCCCTCTCCTCCTGGTCATGGGTCGGCAGTATGTCTTCAGCCTGAGCTTGGGCTTTCCTATTTTGGGAGTGCTCCAGCCTATCGCTCACAATGCTGGTGACCGTAGCTGCTGCCCCCAAACCTTGACCAGCGGCGGAGAGGAGCAGGCTTCCTCCTCCTGTCGCTGGGGCAAGGGCTAAACCCAGGAGGCTCACCACCCCAGAGACGACAGCAGTGGAGTTGGCCACCAACTTAGTCTTGGTGAATTTCTTGTGGGTTTTGTCAATATCCTCTGCGAGGGCACGGAGCTCGTCAATGCTCCCTTTTAGATCTTCTCTCATTCTGGGAAATTCTCTCAAAAATATTTTTTCTTCGGGGGACAGATCATCTTGTAGCTCCACATCTTCACACAGAAAAGTGTCATCCTGGTCCCTGAGGAAAAGCGAAATAAAGATTTTACATCAGCTTCCCAGCTGGGAAAATCCATGTGGCTCTTGGATATTCTTGCCACTCTCGACTTTGAATCCTCAAAAATCCCCTGAAAAGTCTCAGAGCGTCGTAGAGGAGTTCAATCTTTGCTGAAAGCTACTGGTTCCATGGAGGAAAGAAATACATAAGAGGGGCATGTGGAGGGACAAATGTGAGTCACCCCAGCCTTGGCCAAGGAATGGGGAAGGCAGATTAGTCCTGAGGCAGGTTTTCAGCCTTGTTCACAGAAAGTACGGCACTGCCGCAGAGGAGGGGCAGTAAGGAAATGTTAAAACCCTACTCAAGATAAGAAACTTGGGAACGCCTGGCACGGTGGCTCACATCTGTCATCCCAGCACTTTGGGAGGCTGAGGGGGGTGGATCATGAGGTCAAGAGATCGAGACCATCCTGGTCAACATGGTGAAACCCCGTCTCTACTAAAAATACAAAAATTAGCCGGGTGTGGTGGCACGCACCTGTAGTCCCAGCCACTTGGGAGGCTGAGGCAAGAGAATTGCTTGAACTCAGGAGGCGGAGGTTGCAGTGAGCCAAGATTGCGCCACTGCACTACAGCCTGGCGCCTGGCGATGGAGCGAAACTCTGTCTCAAAAAAAAAAAAAAAGAAAGAAAGAAAAAGAAACTTGGGAACAATGGCCAGAGAAACCTGGGAAAGTAGGAGAAAGAGAAGACAAGGTGGTGGGCAGAGGATGAGAGTCCCAGATGTGTGGAAGTGAGTAGGAGACTGGAGGGGGCCATATCGCGTCATGCATCCTCCACTCTGATGACCTTGAATTTGGCTACCATGGGGTGTACCTTGGCTTCCACCAGAAGCTGCACATTGAGAGTTGAGATAAATTATTATTCATGTCCTGAATGCTCCCATTGCTCTTGGTCAGCTTTACTTGACCCTGCAAGCAGATGGGATTGGTCCTTCATGGAAGAAGTTTGGGACAAAGAGACCCAGGCCCCTCTTCCTCCAACATTTCACAGGACGAAGTAGGAAGGGACCTTTGCCAGCCCAGCTGGCTTTGACATTCAAGGGAGAGCTGCATCAGGGTGAGAGCAAAGCCTACCACTTGGGGCATTTTCTAATGCAAGGTGCCGTTTGTGCATTTCCTTCAGGAAGAGCCCAGGGGGCCTGGTGATCACAGATGCCCTGGCCCAAAGGAGAACATCAGAACTGGAGGGAGCCCTGGAGAGGATCTGGGCCGTCTCCTTTACGATTCAGTAGGGTCTTCAAGCCCAGGGAGAAAAGACGACGCTCCAAAGGAACACGCTAGGCAAAGATGAAGCTTTGTGTGGGCTCTGAGACCTAAACTCGGTGCTCTCTGCCCTTCCATTCACCTGCCAGTTGATGTCAAGGCTTCCTCGTTGACATATATGTCTGTCCATACGTGTATTTATCTTTTAAATCTCTGTCTCCACACCCACACCCACAATTCCTCAATGGGAAAGATTAGAAACAAAATATACCATTGAGCATATGTTTTAAGTATTAATGAATTAATAAATTTGGGCCCAGTTATCCATTAACCCACAGATGTGAATCAGTTAACAGCGCAGAAGGTCACCAGGGCTTGCAGCGGGGAAGGGGTGGGTGAAGGCAAGGGGGGTGGCCCTGACGAAGAACCCTAGACTTAAAAGATGCCATAGTTTAGCCTCCCTATCTCTCTGTTTCCTCAAGGAGTGCTGGACAAAAGGAAACAGCCAACAGATATGCAGCTGCCAAGATCAACACCACTGTGTATTAACTGTAAAGTTTTGGTTTTAGCGTGGTTAACTAACGGAAGCTTGACTTTGTGTGTGTTTTTTGTTTGTTTTTTGTTTTTCGTTTTTTTAAAGATGGGGTTTCACCACAATGGTCAGGTTGGTTTTGAACTACTGACCTCAGGTGATCCACCCACCTAGGCCTCCCAAAGTGCTAGGATTACAGGCGTGAGCCACCATACCCAGACAGTGTTTTCTTAATTAAACCAGGCATCTCACATGTGGCCATCTCTGCCCCAGTACCTCCTGTATCCTCTGGTGATGCCTGCTGGCACTGGATAACACTGAGTCCAGTTCCATGAGATACTACACACAGAGCTCCCCGAATTCACTCAGCAAATATTTGTTACTTGCACACGTTCTGCAGGTGGCTGGCGGTGCCACCTCTGCTGATTTACAGATAATTGGGCTTAAATTCATTAACTTGTTAACACCAAAGGACTTCCTCCCTTGGTGGTATGTGAGCTGAAGAAATGGAGTTCCTGCCTCCAAGAGATTTACAGAGATGAGGCCCCAGAGTGGAGCAATTTCTGTCCTTGGAGTCCTACTGCTCAACGCAGGGTGCCGGGCTCCATCTTGACTTGCTCTCAAAAATATTTACTGTAGCTCCATGAAGTATTTTTTCCCTAGGGGAACATATTTTCTTTGAGGCAGAGTTTCGCTCTTGTTACCCAGGCTGGAGTGCAATGGCGCGATCTCGGCTCACCGCAACCTCCGCCTCCTGGGTTCAGGCAATTCTCCTGCCTCAGCCTCCTGAGTAGCTGGGATTACAGGCACGCACCACCATGCCCAGCTAATTTTTTGTATTTTTAATAGAGAGGGGTTTCACCATGTTGACCAGGATGGTCTCGATCTCTTGACCTCGTGATCCACCCGCCTGGGCCTCCCAAAGTGTTGGAATTACAGGCGTGAGCCACCGCGCCCGGCCCGGGAACATATTTTCATATGCATAATGGAGACCAGTGGGAAGATAAGGCCCCCTTCATAGCTAATGCTATCAGAGCACGTGTTCCTTGTCGTGAGGATGCCGGCAGTGTTTCAACAGAACCAGCCCTCTCCCTGGGGACCACGCTCTTTGGGTTACCTTTGCAAACCAATACCAGCCTCGTATTCTTGCTCTGCCTGGTTGTCCAGCAGCCTCTGTGGCACCAAATCTGTGTCCTCGGGAGTCAAATGATTTTCTGGACAGGAATGCGGAAAACAACATTACTGCACATACGATGAAACCTTATGAAATTCAGGTGTGGAGGGACTTTGGATTATACAGCATCAAAATAGCAACCACATAGCACGCTAGATATTTGCAAATGATTATTTTAAATTGTATGTTGAGGTGTAGCTTACATATAATAAATGCATGCAGTGAAATACTCAGTTCAATACGTTTTGACATCTACATTGGAGGATAGCAGCATACACACCCCAAAATATGCCACCTTGGCATAAGGATTATTTTGAGCCAAAAGCAATTGAGAATAAGTGGGTACAAGAAAAGTTCCCCACCCTCTCCCTATTTGCATAAAAGCAGGACATAAATTTACAAAAGTGTCCCTTATCTCACTACCAGGAAGGATAGCGTCATTGCTAAAGATGACATTGATTTGTCTTCCCACAAGTCGTTGCCCCTGGAGACTCAAAATCTTTTTCCATTGTCTTGCTACTTCTCTAAAAATTTACTCTTTATTGTTGAAGGTGTATTGAAGCTGGAATTCAAAGCTACCCCTCTGGGAATTATTTAATTCCTGGACCTCTCCCATGTACATACGAAATAGACATGTTAATAAACATCTGCTTGGTTTTGTCTTTTAATCTGTCTTGGGTTACAGGAGTCTGTTCCAGCTAAGAACTTATGAACGTTGAGAAAAAAATTACTTTTCCTCCCATGCGTAGCCAAGGGCTGGTAACAACCTAAATACATCAATCAATAGACGAATAAATAAACAAATTATAGCATAGTTATATAGTTAAATACTATACAGCAATAACAATTTTTTAAATGACTGATACCCAAACAACATGGAATAATTTCACAGACATTATTATTGATTAAAATAAATCAAACAAATGGTTCCATTTATATAAAGTTCAATAATACGCAAATGAATTGGTTATAGAAATCAGAATCGTGGTTTCCCTTGGGTGGGATGATTACTGCCTGGGAGGAAGAAGAACAAAGAAATCTCCTGTTCTCTATCTTGACCTGGGTGAGTGGTTCCTTGGATGGATATTGTAAGAGAGGAAAAAATAATTATCCCTCTACCCTTCTAAGTTCTCAGCTAGGGCTCCTGTAACCCAAGGCAGATTAATAAGAGAAAAACAGAAGTCAATTAATATGTACCTCTCAGGTGTATGTAGGAGACACCTAGAAAATAAGTAATTCTCAAAGAAGTGGCTTAGAACTCCCTGCCTGTATAGCCACCTTCAACAAAGAACAATACAATTTTAGAGAAGTGACAAGACGAAGAAAAAGGACTTTGCATCTTGAGGGCCACCAAACTGTGGGAAGACGAATAAATGGGAAATGAATGATGGAAAGAGACTAGTCGAATTTTCTTTCCAGTCTATCATTAATGGGCATTTGGGTTGGTTCCAAGTCTTTGCTATTGTAAACAGTGCCTCAGTGAACATACATGTGCTGTGTCTTTGTAATAGAATGTTTTATAATCCTTTGGGTATATACCCGGTAATGGGATTGCTGGGTCAAATGGTATTTCTATTTCTTTTTTTTTTTTTTTTT